GCGGGTATTAAAGTCACTTGTTTTAATAAAAACCAACACTCACACCTGTATTGATCTTAAAAAAGAGATGATTATATTTATCTTCTTCTTCTTCTTCTTTGTTATAGTATAACATCAATAAAAAATATACAATATTATTAGACTATTTTCTTTTATTGAAACAATTTATAACATAGGAAAATATGGATGAGATTTTTCTGAAAAAAATGATTTATCTAGATAAAGATCTTTGACTCTACTAAAGTTAAAATATGTTGTATCAATGGTAAAAATGTTTGTTATCATTATCAATGATTCACATTTGATGTAAGGATTAAATAAATGAGGTAGATAAGTTATTTTCTTCGAGAGAAATTGTTCAGCATAATCGTCATGTGCCAATACTAGATCAAGAAGTTTAAGATGATGACACGTAATTAATTCAGTAGATGAATACTTTTTATATTTTTGCGGTTGATCATTACGTATACGTAATATTTCAATAAAAGGTATATCATGAGAGATAATTTGAAAAAAATTATGTTCAAAAGGAATTATATCAATAACTACCAAATATCGAACTGTATGAAATATGCCTCCTGGAAAAGAATTATTGATTTCAAGTAAGTATTCGAATTGATATGGAAGTGAATAAATATGACATTTTGATTCGATACTTGAATTAATATTGATGTATGAATTAATTTGTTTATATATTTCTTTTCCAATAAAACTACGTTGAATATCTTCATTTGATGAAAGATTAATATTATTATTACGTCTATAAACAAGTGTTTGAATATTAAATGTAAAGTTATTTAATTTATTCATATGACAAAGAAGTTCATTATATAATTGAATACCATCAATATAATTTAAACGATATACTTTTATTAATAAATATTATTTTAATTCTTCAAGATTTATCATTCGACGAATAAATGGAAAAATTAGAGTGACATGTTGATCTGTGTATTCAGGTGAAATCAATGACAAATATTTTAATTTGGGAAGTTTTTTTCTAGAAAGAATATTAACACTGAAAATATCTTGAAGGTTTAT